TTTCTATGATAATCTATTTCTGAAAATTATGTAATATTTCGCAAAAAGTTGATAATCTATCTTAATAGGTGACTTATTTTGGGGGCAAGGTGAAAATAGTTCTAAGTCCATGAATGGCTGTATTTTGACTGGAAATAAACAAACTTTCAGGAGTTACTTTTATTTTGTAATACATGTGTTGTGCTGTGCCAGACCAGTCTTGATGAGCACAAGTAGAAAATACATAAAAGCATAAAATTGATGCAGCTTCACTTTATGAAGACTTACATACTCCAATTAATCAAATATATGTTTTAGACCATCACATGTGACAGTACAGCATTACTTTATGGCAAGATTGCTGTCAACGTAACATTTTGAAGTTGAACTGAATTCAAATAAAATTTCACATATACTGTATTTGTAATATTTCCTGGCTTTTCTAGCTCAGTAAACACCCTATACGTACTTATAAAAATGTATATAAAGGCCATTTAAAACTACGAGGTCAGAACATAACCTACTAAAATAATTTCAAAGGCAATTAACACTAATTACTCATTACTCTTAATTTTTAAATTGTGAACCCAGATCATTAATCTACACTAGTAAACAAACGACCATGAGACTAGCCCGGACCATAAGTTGTAACTGCAGAAAGAGTTTGGTTTCTAATGTAGTGCAGCAAGAGTTCCGTTTGCCTGAAGACACTCTCACGGTTGTTATGTCCTGCATCTTCATATCGCCGTCCTGGAATGAATAATATTTTAACAACTGAACTAAAAAATTAAGTAGTCAATGTTGTTTTTGTACACCTACACTATACAGCACTCTTGGAACACCACAGTTCTTGAACAGATGGGCACAACTCAATGGTTGGCAGGTCTGCTTGTGAAGCTACTCCATATTTCATATGTTTATCTATAGTATTTACAGGTGAAGTAGTAATTAAATTAACAATAAAACTACCTCGGCAATTTTCACATTAGTTTCGTTGTAATGCACGAGTAAGTGCAAGAACTTTGTGGGTAGTGTATAGCAATACAGTATGTACTATACGTCATGTATACGTTCAGTAATACTAAATATTATGTACAGTATACCGTTACTGCCCAGTATATTGTACAATAATTCATTAAATCTTTAAACAAATTGAAATACTGTACAGCCTCATGGTTAAAGTACGTGTAAACCAATTTTTCCATTAAAGTTTCTTGCCTAATGTATTAAAATAAATAAAAACTGCCCAAAATCTTACCTCGATGGACGACACAAGGAACTTCATGTATCCTTAACTATGATCACCGAGGCAGCAATCTGGTCTTTTTCTTCTACACCTTTAACACAACAGTAATCAACACAACCAACTGGATCCATCTGTTAAAAATATGAATAGAAAATTGGTACAAAGCCCAAAATAAGAAACTATATAAAAACCATTAAAATAAAGTAAAATATGAATACTGTAAGTAGTGGTATTGTATTTTCACTCCCAAGACCAAATTTAGCTTTGCCAGAAGTTAAATCTCCTCAATTGTAACAACTTTTCTAATACCACTTGTGTTGCAAATGGTTAACAGAAATGGTCAATACACTTCAGAAACTCACAAATTATATTGCACTGCCATTAGGGTTGAATTACCTATAAACCCTAATATTGTGACCAATTTTCCAGAGAAAAAACCCTTACCATCGGAGACGTGATTTGCTTGGGTTTCAATCCCACCAACTACAATGAGAAAAACCTATATTTCTTATAAGAGCAAAACTGCAATTTTATCACACCCAGAATGTCTAATATTTTATTTTTTACTTCAAACTAATTTTATCATAAATAAAAAGTTGCCAAAAACTTAACCCCCCAATTTTTGTCTTCAATAAATACAAAAAAAAAAACTTATTCTTACCTTTAATAAAAATGACCCCAAATCCCACAAATGGAGGACAGCTTCAATACCGTCAACGTTTACGATCAAGGAGGCAGTAACGAGGAGGGTTGTCCTGTACCTTCAACAGTGACAAGCAATAAATTGTATAAACTAGAATAAAGACCAAATATTAACATGAAGTATAAAAACTAGAAAAAATATTAAAAATTAATGTAAAATATGATAAAGTTGTACAAAAACTGGAATAAAAACTAATATTAATGTAAAATACGAATATTAACGTAAAATATGAAGTTGTATAAAAACTACAATATAGACTAAATTTTAACGTAAACTAATAAATTGTAGAAAAACTAGTATAGGACTAAATATTAAAATATGAATAAATAGCAACAAAACTAGAATAAGACTAAATTTTAACAATATACTGTACTGTAAATAACTTTAAAAAACTAGTATACTAGACTAAATATTAACAACATATTATTAATGTAAATAAAAACACTAGAATAATGACTTCATATCGACTTAAAATAAATAAAATGTATAATGACAAGAATAAAGACTAAATATTAACGTAAAATATGAATAAGTTGTATAAAAACTAATAATTACTAAATATTAACGTAAAATATTAAATTGTATACAAAATAGAATACATTATGAGCATCAACATCCAATATGAGCATCAACGTCCAATATGAACACCAACGTCCAATATGAGCATCAACGTCCAATATGAACACCAACGTCCAATATGAGCATCAACGTCCAATATGAACACCAACGTCCAATATGAACACCAAGTTGCAAAAAAACTAGAATGAAGACTAACTATTAATGTAATATATGAATAAGTGGAATAAAACCTAGAATACAAGACTAAATATTAATGTAAACTATGTATCAAGACACAAGTATGAATAATTTCTATAAAACAATTTTTGAAAGTTTCCACCTACTCAATTATTACCCAGGACGAAGTAAAAACTTTAATTTATCTTGGCACAAAAGTACACTAAAAACAAAGTAACGTGAAAATAACAAAACTACCAAAATACTTGCACGAATACCAAAATTAGTAAAATTATCGTAAAAGTAATAAAAAAACTACAGAAAAGACTTTAGAAGTCTTTAAAGTAACAAAAATCTTCATGAAAATACTGTACCAATGTTCCTAAAAGTAACAAAAATAATTTCAAACAGTAACGTCAATTAACAAACTCCACAAGTAAAACGTCTCAAAATAACAAAACAATGCATACGAAAGTAATAGAATATCTCAAACCATTTCCTTAAAACTGTTCCATTGACGATTTCCTACAATAGTTTACGGAAATAAGCAGTAGCTATCATTGGTCAACGTTTTTTTACTGTACACCACCACAAACCTGCACCATACACCTACACCCCACACCTGCATCGTATGAACATGAGTCCGCAATAGGCCGGTTAGCCTGTGCATTAAGCTCCCGTCGAGTTACTACCACTATCATCCATGAATCTATCTAGCCCCCTTTTAAAACTTCCAGCATTCCAGTACTTACTACAAAGTTACTAAGCTTGTTCCACTCATCTACCACCCTATTTGTGAACCAGTTCCTTCCTATCTCCCTCCTAAACCTAAACTTATCCGACTTCATTCCGTTGCTACGGGCCCTATCCTGCTCGGATATATGAACTTTATATCTCCTTTGATTTCTTTCACCCACTTAAATACCTCTATCATATATCCCCGCACTCCGTCTTTCTAGGGAACACAAGTTTAGTTTCTTTACCTTGATATGGAAGTTTACTAATTCCCGGAATCATTTATGTCCATCGCTGCACCGACTCCAGTGAATTGATATCCATTCTATAATAAGGGCACCAAGATATAGTTGCAATATGACCTCTGCACTAATTAAACTTCTAGATATAAAACCTAATTGGTTCGCCTTTTTTCAAACATTAACGCACAGTTTTTTAGGCCGTAGGTCCGGGGTTACAAGTAACCCCCCCCCCCCTCAAGTCCAGCACAAGTCGACTTCACTAGGTTGATGTTAAGGCGGAATACATTGACAGTATTTGTTCTTCCAATATTAAGTACGCTGCACTTGCTGGTGTCGAATACCATTTGTCATTTTTCTGACTACTCCTGCCGTCTATTTTAATACTCCTGTAGTGCATTTGCATCCTGCCCCGAATTAATCTGCCGCAAACTTGCTTATGTCACTGCTGATCCCAGTATCTAGATCGTATATGTACATTATGAACAAGAGTGAGCCCAGTACCGACCCCTGGGGAACCCCACTGGTTACACAGCCCCACTCAGATTTAACACCATCTACGCTGACCCTCTGTGTTCTAGCGGCGAGCCATGATTTTATCCAATTTAAAACTTACCCCTCCGACGCGGTACTCAAACGCTTTGCTAACGTCTAAGTAAATAACATCGTAATTTTCGTCATTATCTACTACCTCGAAGACACTACTAACCTGCACCATACACCACCCGATCGTGCATCAATAACTCATAATTAGCACATTTAAATCAAGGTGTAACTTAATAAAATGAAACGAGACATCACAGTGTCTATAGCCAAAATATACACGAAATATCGTTAAATTCATCCATATAAACCAGGGCTGTGGAGTCGGAGTCGGAGGAAATTTCGGCTTGTGGAGTCGGAGTCGGTAGATATAAACACTTAAAATATGAAGCATATATTTAAATCTTCCCTCCTTCCTGCCCTCCTCCTTACACCATCTCGTCCGAATGATTAAATATAATAAATACAAACTTCTTCGTATTTATAAATCTTAATACATATTTATGGTAAATTAAATCATTTAGGAATATAAATATAATAAAAAAATAATAAACAATTGTAAATAGAGAACAAATTTAAGTAAAAAATTAAATATAAAGGCGAATATTTAAGTTTAAATGCCACAGGGTATTCGGACACATTAAGGTTTAAACAGAGAAGCCAACTGTACCGATCTGTCGACTCAACATGGCAGCCAACATTACCTATAAACAGTACACAATTAAATCCAAAAATAATCCTCAAATTTTAATAATGTTTTTACCAATTCATTAATTTTATTTAATATTAATATTATAATTTTAAAATCAGTAAATATTTAACTTGGGAAACTTTGCGGGGATAAATGTAGACGAATTACTTACGGACTCCGATAATGAGGCAATTGGCTTGTTTACACTTATTAGTAATAGATAGATAGATAGAAAGATTAATTAGTTTTTTAGAGGTGTTGTGTTTAAAACTACACACACACACACCGTCTACCCACGCACATACAGTACACCGTCTACATACACACATACACAGTCTACCCACACACCGCCTACCCACCCACACACTGTCGTTTTTTTTTTACTTTCCCTTCTCCCAGCCACCACTGATAATACTGTACACCCCTTTACCAATCTCTCACATCCCATTCTTTCATTTGCGATACCACCTGAGCAGACTCTGATCTGTTCTTTAATAACTACAGTACATCTTTCAATTCCACATCTCCCTATTTCTGCCTCTCATTTACTAAAACCCATTTAAACACAATGTCAGTCATCTCTAACTTAATCCTTTTTTCACATCCAAAGTTCATGTTTCACACACATACATAATAACGATGGCTTAACAAAACTCACGAACATACCTATTTTTGACACGTTTCTTTCTCTTCATACATTTGTCATTATGCAGATCAATTTGCAATTTCTATATTACAATATCAGTTAGATTGTAGTGGATTCCTCCCCTACAAACGCTGTTTGTCGCTGAGTAGCCGACCCCGCGAATCCCCCAGTGTATGCCTCGTGGTCTAGGTCAACCAGGGCCGCTTTACATGACGGAGGTCAACTATTAAGCCACGCCTACCTCCGCTGTATAAAACCTGACCCCGTGGTGACCTACCTCTCTTTCTACCTACAGCCAGTATTCAAGCAAGACCTCCTCCTCCACTCCTGCCTGGCGGCCCTTGCTCCCGCCGGTGAGCATGGCGACCCACAAGCTGGTCCTCCTCTGAGCATCCTCACCAACCAGCTCTATCTACTCAACGCTTGTAACCACGCTGCCTTCCCAGCACCAAGCTGCACTGTACATCCAATACAATATGTATACAGAGAGCACATTGTGAGTTTCCTTTCTTCATCCCATCCTGAGTGCGAACCAACAACTCGTACCCCACAAATGGTGACCCCGGAGTGACCACACACACAGGATGGAGGAGAAACATCCCGTACCCTACAAATGGTGACCCCCGGAGATTCGCACTCACACAGGATGGAGGAGAAACCGATCACTCTCCCAGTCTTCAAGCAACATAGAAGACTGGCTTATCCACACAGAGGCAGCTCTCATCGACTCTACAGCTACTGTCTCTACACCGCAGGTTAGACACCCTAGAGCAGCACTGCTTCTCTAAGCAGACACCAGCTCCTCTTCCTGCCCCAAGCACCACGTCCTACCAACCCCAACACACCCGTCCTGCCTCAGACGCCGCCCCCGGCCCAGCAGTACCCCCTGCCACTGTCCTGGACCCTCCTCCTGACGCGGACCATCCTCCGCTCCTGCCTGGCAGCCCCTTCTCCCGACGCGGGCCATGCGCCTGAGTGCGGCCCCACACACCCTTTTTTTTTCTCCTCAGGTACTTCCTGCTACTGTCCTGTACCCTGCTGCTGTCGTGGACCCTGCTGCTGTCATGCACCCTCTTCCTGACGCACCCCCTGCTCCTGACCCAGACCCACACACCCCAGCAGGCGCATCTGAGGACTCTGTACCTGCCGCGAGGGAAGGACAACATTCATCGCCTCCACAACCCTCCTTCTCCCTCTCTCCTCCCACAGATCTCGTGTATCTAGACAAAGTTGTCTCCACTAGCGGCCGGCTCATCCACGCCCTCGCCGTTATGTCTCACATGTGGCATACAACCCAGCCGACAACAAGTCTCCTGCACCGCCCGTTCTGCCTCACATGTGGGATGCAACCCTGCAGACAACAAGTCTCCTAAACTGCCTGGAGGGAAGGGGGAGTATTGTAGTGGATTCCTCCCCTACAAACGCTGTTTGTCGCTGAGTAGCCGACCCCGCGAATTCCCCAGTGTATGCCTCGTGGTCTAGGTCAACCAGCGCCGCTTTACATGACGGGAGGTCAACTATTAAGCCACGCCTACCTCTGCTATATAAGACCTGACCTCGTGGTGACCTACCTCTCTTTCTACCTACAGCCAGTATTCTAGCAACATCTCCTCCTCCTCCACTCCTGCCTGGCGGCCCTCGCTCCCGCCGGCGAGCATGGCGACCCACAAGCTGGTCCTCCTCTGAGCATCCTCACCAACCAGCTCTCTCTACTCAACGCTTGTAACCACGCTGCCTTCCCAGCACCAAGCTACACTGTACATCCAATACAATATGTATACAGAGAGCACATTGTGACTTTCCTTTCTCCATCCCATCCTGAGTGTGAACCCACAACCCGTACCCCACAAGATTTATAGGACAATAACATTTTGGATTAGTTAGAACAAAATACATAAGACATCAGAGACTTACCATATTCTTTTAACAATGAGTGAGTACTGTGTGCTTACTTGTCTAATAAGTTTGTAATTTCTTATTTGGGATGAATATCTATAGGGACTCACACATCATTAATCTCTCTTACTGGCCCAATTCTGAAAAAAAAAGTTTCTTTGCAGAATATCTTTCAAGGAATTACAATAAAAGTTACAGTTAATAGGCACTTAATTTTGATAAAAAAATTTGCATCTAATAAAGAAATATGAGATGTACAAATAATAAGTCAAAGTACTGCACAAATTCCATATAGTACAGTGTTTTTATGATGACATGTATAATATAAATTGACAAAACCTAATGCTACCCAAGTCATTTTCTCTGTGAAGTGAACAACCTTTGACGGATCTTCACTTAACTCTTTGGTTACCATCATCTTTCTTTTATTTTCAGGTTTTCCTAATTTAACTTACTCTCCTGTGTAAAGTTACAGACACAACTCTCTTAACATACAGTATGTATTTGTTATACAGTACACCCTGCACTACATACAGTACAATTGGCCTAGGTAGCAATGTCATCCTTTTCAGTATGATTCGTTCAGGCAGCAATATCTAGTGACTCGACGCGAGCCGAGCAAGTGACTGACCACTCTCCAACAGTGGGCTGGACGCCCATATAATATGGTATATTAAAGAACTCCTTAACCGAATTTCTTGCTGCCTGACCTTTCTCTGGCATTCCCTCATATTTTTTAAAGTAAAACGCTTCAAGACAGGTATTAAGAGTAATAGTCATATACCATCCAAATATATATATACTACACAGTATATACACGGGTTCCCCGGGTTACGAACGGGTTCCGTTCCTGAGGGAGTTCATAAGTCTAATTTGTATGTAAGTCGGGGACCATCTGTATGTATAAATATATTCATTATACATATTTGGTAAAATTTTGAATTATGAGAGACATTTACAGGTATGTATGATGCACATATCACCATGGGATGCAGCCGCCTACCTAAGTGTAAACAATTTTACATGTGTGTCAGATCTGTCAGACAATTGGTCAGGGTCTATCACACATGCTTTTTCCACCATTGCCCAGTGATTGAGCCATTATATCTGATAACCTTAAATCTGGTATTGAACTTAGAAATGTTAAAATTTATATTGGGGCAGATAACGAAATAGTACCATAGTTTTGTTTGTTTTTCCCTCGGGAGGAGGTGTCTATTGTAATTTGTCAAATCTCATATTTCGTAAGCGCTGGAGCCCCTATTGTTTTGAATCGTGGGAGTTTTACTGTACAGCAACAAAAGCCAATAACACTTTTTTATAAGTTGTTTTACTTCAGAACAATATGAACGGCATTTTCTTACTCTAAAATAATTATTAATTGAATAAGCATTTCTATAATTTAGCAACTTAGTTAAGTTTTAATTTTTTCTAAATAACGAATGACTGTTAAATGGAAAGATTTAATGCTATATATTTTATTCCTTGGTGTTAAACATACAGTAACTTCGGATTACAAATAACAATTAATTTTCATATAAAAACTAGAGTACAAACTGTGACTGTAAATGTTTATTTAAGCATATAGGCAGTATGTATGGAAAGTATTTGTTTACATATTTAGCAAAGACATGGCATAAATGGGGTGAGTATGAATATTATTTTAAGTTGTATTATTTTTTTTGATAATCATTTCAGCTAAACACAATTAATGCAAACCTTTTCATTTTGGAGTTCGATTCCAACTCTGCAAATTATTCCCGATTGTCCCTGAGCAATAATCTCATGTACAGTATACTCTCGATTTAACGGAATCCGATTAACGAATTCTCAATTTAGCTGAAGGAATTTTTTATATTATATAGTGAACTAGTTCGCTAAATCGAGATCACTTCCATTAATACGTTCACACCTACAGAGACACCTCAAACACATGACATGTACATAAAAACATTAAAAGCATTACTCATGGCTTACCTTAAGCTAGGGGGTTCAGTATTTGTAAATATTTTCTATAATTTACAAACATTTTTCCAGTTGATAGCTGCAATCTTTTAACTTTCTCCCCCACACCACTTCCTTTCTGAGACTTCCGAGAGACTTTTGGCATGATGTCTAGCACAGTAGTTAGTCGACCAAGATGTAGACCGAGTGGTAGCAGTGAACAACACATGCGGTGGCGGCAGGACACAGACTGAGCAGATGTAAACAAATCCCATGCGCCAAGTGGCACACTCGACACAGAATTAATGGAATCACGCTCGATTTAGCAAGCTAGTTTGCTAAATCGAGCAGAAATAATTATAAGTTCGATTTAGCGGAAATTTTGATTTAACAGAAAGGGCCGGATCGAAATAGTTCATTAAATTGAGAAATTACAGTAGTACGTATTATATTATGTTATTTCGAAATATACTAAATTCTTAACTATATCTTTTGTTTTTGCAATAATCTTTTGAAAAACTACTATAGCATTTATTAATTAATTTGTGATCCCATTTCACAAAATTGAATTACACCTAAAAAAAACAAGAGAAACTAAAGCAAGACTTGCAGTTGCCAGATAGCATTATTTTCAGTTAATGCTTCAAGTATCACTGTTGGCTAATCAACAGTTCAAGTGGAGGATGTGTGTGACCGACTGAAAATTTTACATAGATTCATTAAGCACCACTTTCCATTGACATAAAATACACAGGTTATATATAGCCTTCCCATATTATACCCACTGTAGCCCTACACCTGTCAGTAAGAGCTTTAAAACATACATTACTCAAACAAGTATTTATTGCCTAATGTTACTTTGCCTTCACACCTTACACTCGGAAGTTTTCCACCACTTATCCCAAAATTCCACGTTTTTTTTCTTTGTAAATGATCCGATTTAAGTACATATACAAATTTTACATGGAGAAGTACATCAATTAGTCCCAGTGATAAATTATGCTCAAATGCATCAAAGAAAGATGTGCTTTCCTTTGACTTTCCCCCCACAGTGCTATTATCAACACTATCCTAGAACTATAGAGCCTTTGGTTGAGATACTGATCCCTGGTGCTGGGATCAAATGGGTAACTTTTTAAAATCAATGACCTTGACCTCACACAATTTGACTCCAAAAAGTAGTACAAGTGTATGCATGTTTGACAATAACAACACGAGATGTTGCATTTGTATTTTGTTCACAAACAGAAAAATCTGTTTACAACCAAATAAACACAGCTGAACAACAAACCAACACGCCTCAATGGCTTCCATATAGCTTTGTATATCCTAGTTTAATATCATTTGGTATTTTCCTACTTTGGCAGTATGCGGATTTATTCATTTGCTAATGCAACACTCAATCTTTCCACTTTCTTTTCTGAGTACAAGAATTTGGCAAGTGCTTAACTGGTGTGATGCCTAAATTAATACAAGGGGTCCTCGTTATAAGTGTCTTCATTATAAGTGGTTTCGCACTAAAGTGGTCAAATAATTGTGAACCTACATGTACAAAAAAAACCCTCAGTTAATTGGATTCTAAGTCTGAAATCAGTCAATCTTTGGGAGCACAAGTGTTTGAGCAATTGAAATTCCCGTCCGCCTCCCGTTCTCTTAAAGTTCATCCTTCTCACGTGCACTATGCATGCTCAATACCAGTCACCTGTGTCCACAGGCAATATTTGAAGTGCTCCAAGAACTAAAATTATCAACTTTGTTGTGTTTTTGGTGACATTGGTGGACTATTTTTGTTGTCATCAGTTCCAAACCGAAGCAAGGTGGTGTAGTGGCTAAAAGGGAGCGTAGTAGCTATGGGATGGATGTAAAATTAGAAGTTACATGAAAGAGAAGTGGTGAGCATCTCTCAATGAGTGTGCAAGTGCATGGTTAGGTAGCTCATGCCACATCAACACACTGACCCCAAACGACTTTTAAGCACCTTAAATGAGTTGTAAAGTTAAATAATTTAATAAAATAATGAGTAATCAAATGTTTAACAAATGTTTGTAAGGTACAGTACATATTTAACAGTTAAAAGATACCAAATTAAATTAAACTTTGAGTCACTTACAATGTGATGGGCCTGATCAGACCCTAATCCTATTAATTCTTATGGGAATTAATTCCTAGTTATAATTGGTTTCATTATTGGTGGCTTTCTTCTGGTCCCTATTAACCACTTATAATAAGGACCCCCTGTACTAGAATTTGTATGATCTGATTATAACTGAGGAGTTGAAAACACCTTGATCACACTGAGATAATTATGACAAATTTTATGGAAACAGACTCCTCAGGTGCCATCCTTCTTTGAATGCAAAAAATTAAAATATATAAAGATATAAACAGATTAGTTTTAAAATTACACAAAACAAAATTTGTATTTATTTGGGTAGGCTGAACCTGTTACACTTCTCATCCATTCCCAATGATACATCCATGTACACAGTAATTTGGCTCCTGGCTCATCTACTGAAACACTTTATTCACGTTACAAGAAAATTCTTAACAAATTTTCAAGCAAAGAAGGTTGCCAATATAATCCACCACAAGGTCAAATCTTTATTATTGAATTTTCAACATAGCAGGATGTTCAACTTCAATTCAGGATCTTGGTAACACAAGTAGAGTGACTGGGAGACTTAGGAGAAGAGCAAGCACAGCATGCCGGAGATAACGAGTGACCATGTGCACTCGGGGAGGTAGCAGATTTTTTGGGGGGAGGGGGTGAGGTTGGAGGGGAGGAGGTCTTAGATTGGAGGGCAGCTTCTAGTTGGGGCTGTAAGTGGAAGTAAACCTTAGTCTAAAACTTTGGTATTTTTAAGTTGCAAAATGTGATAGGTTCAGCTATTTTCAACCTTGGATAATACTTCAACAAGGTTCAGTTTCACTAAAATATGAACTGGAAAATGAACATTATCAAAGTTCTACTGATGGCCCAAAATTACCAAATGTATCACATTCAGTTATTTAGATTTTAAGAAGTTCATCAATATCCTTCACAAAGCTAGTCACTTTACCATGGAGACAAAACAGAAGAAAAAAACAAGGAAAATTAAGCATAAAACTGTAATGTTGTCCTGTGTCCAAAAATGCTAAACCTAATTCCTTTATCTCTCTAGGTTGTGTATTTTTGGTACAGTTTCCAACTTAATAAATAATGTCACACTTTCCACTATGATCTGATATGTGCAGTACCAGAAGCTGCCATGAGGGATCAAAAAAACTCTCTTCACCACTCAAGCATCAACAAAGCCTTGACCAGCTTCAAGTTACAGAAAAACAATACTTAAACTGAGATAATCCCCAATGACCATTTTGAGCACAAACCTGAAAATTTATTACTGGAACTACAGCAAATTGTGTGCTTTACATGTAGTAGTCAATATTGAACCACTAAAATTCTCATTAATATCTACAACATTAAGCCATAAAAATATTAAGAACAAAACTAATTTCAATGCCTTTTTCATATAATTAATTGCCTCCCTATCAAAAATGTCTTCTTTACAGAGAACTTTAAAGTGTACTGAGTGCCCTGTCTTTTGCATGGTCATTTTCTTTGAACATAAAAATTATTTAGCTTTATGTTTCTGGTGAAGATACAACTTGGTAAACTGAAATAAACTTTACCCTCCTTCATAAATATATTCATAAAATTATACATCTCTAAACTATAAAAGAAAACATGTTCAAATTCATTATAAGAAAACAAAATACCTAATACTATTTTCAAGACTTTGGCATTTTAGGCAAATTTAAATTATGATATATAAAATCGTTGGCATAAGGCAGGGCAGTCAGATGACCAAGAGTGTCACTACAGGACCAAATAGCCTCTTCTCTGCTGTCTGAACTTTAAGTGATTAGCCATCCTGTAACTAGGGAAGCAGAGACTAGTGTCATAATGAGTGACACCAGCCAACACAGGTATTTGTTATGGCTCAGCATCACTTGTTATGCCAGAGATGCCTCAGGGAAGCAAAAGTTTGTCATCTTTTTTTTTTTTTTGGTACACCACAGTAAATACACTGCACTATAACAAGATTTTAGAAATAAGACTACTTTATAAAAGGAGTCCAAAATTTCTTAACTTATGATTGTAGTATTCAATAAAAGTGTATTCATGTATCAAAGTACATTTTCTTCTCTGTTGTGCTATCAATATGAGCCTTATTAGCTGAAGTGTTATCTTTTTTTTTGGCACAAAGTATTAGAATAACCAAATTTTGTGCTTATATTTCTTGAAAGACAGGTGTAGGTGCAGAGTAAGATTAGAAAGTCAATACTCTGTCAGATGGAGGACCAATAACTTGACCCAAGGCATCCAAGTCTCCAGTCAATCGACCAGTTAATGAATACCTCTCAAGAGTGACATCAAAACCTACCTCACATTGTGGATGACAGGATAACAAGATCAAGTTCATGAGCTCTCCAGCTGATGGAGAGTTCATTCTCTAAACATACCCAAATTGTCCAGCAATTGGTTGATTACAAAATCCATTCTAGAAGTTCTTCTTTTGGATCCTAGGCATATCACAATAAATCCCTTGAATATTGTCCTGCAATGGTATCTACATTTCTAAGAAAATTACCAAATAGGTGACCGTTGTGATTTTGTTCAAGGGTTTACCTGCATTTCTTAGACTGAATTCTAGCACATTACCTAAAGATTTACATTTTCACCTTCATTCAAGTTACTGTTTGGCAATTTATCTTTTACCAGAAACACATACAGCTGCTGTACATTCAAGATACATAGCTAATGACTAAAACTTTCAGATTTAATGCAATGTAAAAAATTTGTATCTTAGGTGGTGTTTCAGAATTCTAATCTAAGTTATCAAAGTAGCAGGGTATGGGTTACTATTTCAAAACAAGCTCAGTGAGTTCAAGAAATACTATATAATTATGTAACATCATAGTGTAAATAACTTGTTGAGTAATCTGTTAGGTTAAATCACTGAAAAATTATCAAATACACTTCAAGATGAGAAGAGTAGATTTCACGATATACATATCAAACTAACAATGTAGAAAAGGACACTGTCCTCTGCTCACTGAGTACTATTTTGAAACTCACCCCATATAATAGAGTATGAAGTTGTTCCTCTTGAATGCCCCATGTGAAGACAATGTAACCTAGTTTTCCTTTGTACCCGTATGGCATTCTGCACTTTTAAGAACCGACTTAAGCAAGCTATAGGTGACAAGGCGTAAACTTAAAAATCCACCGCACACAGAGGAAGATCCAGAGCAGTAAAGCCTTTTTCAGGGGAATTGGTGAAGCTCTCACCGAACTGAGGGATACAGGGATGTAGACAACTTTACTGCCGTGCATCCTTTCAGAACACAAGTGGAGGCGACACTGAGACGGGATTAAAATGTAGAAGAACTCCATCGTCACACTGGTTTTGTCTCCTATACATTATTCAAATGTAACAAGAAAAGATTTTCTATATCTACTCAGTTGTTTTTTATAATAACAGTAATCCATCCAACAAACCCACAGAAATTGTAAAGCTTGGTCGGGAAATTAGATTCAAGGTAAACATGTGGATTTGCATAATACATAGTTAAATCAGAATAGGGGCCATAATTGGACATGCAAATCATTTCAATTAAATCTAAGCAAGACTAATGGGGAAATAATAGTTTCCTTACATGTAGTATATTGATTTTTAAATTTTTTGAGTTCTTGCAGAACTAAGTAAGTATGATATATGAATCTAAATAATATATGGAAAAAAGAAAGAAAAAAGAAATGAATCAAAAACAAATTTATGAACTACTATCTTTCTTGCTCAGACCCAACCCTGTGAAAGTCATAGCCATAAATGTGGCCCACTGTCATCATTCTCACAACTCAAACTTATTACAAATCTAGTACTGTATAAAATCAATGTAGCATGTGACCGAAATATACAGACAGTACCTAATGTCATCAGTTTCACATTAGCATAAACTGGCTTACTACCTGCACTGCAACTATATAACAATTAATTAAATTCCATGTACAAGGAACAACTGGTTCAACCTTTATTTGCTTATAAAAACAATATTTATAAGTGTACACAGATCAGTCCATCCTCTTTACTAAGAAGTATAGAGGATACTTCAGTGATTTCCAGAATTCCATCAAAGACAACACTACTAGCATTACATATGTATCCAGTTGTCAGTTTATTGTGCTTTGGTGCAACCCTTAGACTATTCTCCTGGATCCTACAAATATATATTCATCTCCACTGGATTCCATCACCTCTTCTTTACAATGGAGGTCTTTGATTAAACCACAATTCCAAACAACAGTCACGTGCACTGGTAACAATTTTATGTTAAACTTCTCCCCAAAGACTTTTGAAGTCCCGTACCATCAACAGTTTAGCCTCAATCCATCTTCAAAAAATTATACCATCTTTCACAAGAATCACACACAACCATGGTACATTATAGCTTCACACAGGCTCTTCTCTCGGATGATGATCATCGCTCGGTGGATCTCTCTAGCCTTATTTTCTAGCAAGAGTTTCAAAAATATTCTTTAGTTTACTAAAATTATTCATTTTATTTTCTACTACATTTCATGATATACAAGAGAATAACTGATCACGTTAAACGAGAGTTCTTAGCCATAATATTGTTTAATACTATGCTGTGTCACCGATTATATATATATATATATATATATATATATATATATATATATATATATATATATATATATATATATATATATATATATATATATATATATATATATATATATATATATATATATATATAATATATATATATATATATATATATATATATATATATATATATATATATATATATATATAATCAATTTGTTTAAACTGAATGACACTGGATTTTTCACTACTTTTAAGCATATAGAGAAGTATTAGCTCCAACTAAATGAATAGGGAAACTGTATTTTATCCACTTTAAATACAACATGTTACATTACTGAACAATATCTTTCCAATAAAATTCCTAGATTATTTTATTGGATCTGAAAGACATAAATTACAATTATGAATCGATTAAAAACAAAATCAAGATAAAAAAATCCATCACACTATGACTTAATTGATTCAGAAAAGGATTTTTGGCCAAATGTACACATGTAACTCCTTGAAAATTTCCTTTTTGAGCAAATTGCCAAAACCTTTATGCTACTTATTACACCACTCTCAAGATTTATCTCCACTCTCTTTCCTTCACCACTTGTCACACAAGACATTCATAGTGACAAGCAATATGTGCAGTGTTTGGCTGTAATGTCTCATCTCTTTTGCTATTTTTATAAAGTTTTTTTTTTTTTGTATCATCATAGGATAAAATGAGGCATTCTATTTTGCGAGACTTTGATTGTGGCACTCTGGTCATGGTTGTGTGGTTCTATGCTCCACTGGATCACCTTCTATGGTGTTGGTGGGCTCGTCTGTTAGCCTCTTTGCTCCTTGATGTTCCACAGCAATAGCAGTCAGAGGGACTGTCTCGGGGAGGGGCGGTCTGTCAGTAAACCCATGACACAGGCACCCACTGCGGTGTCATATTCATAGTTTCAATAGATTTTTCCAGTTGTCGGATTGTTTCTTCGATGTCATTATTCACTATGGTCAGATCAAAGAAATGACCATATAACTGCTTGAGCATGTCCGATTCCTTTGCCAGCCGTTCTAAACTTCCATCGTACTGGAAAGAAAATAAATTTAGTAGATATTTCACTTATGATTCACAATGCAGACATCACACCAAAACTTTGAAATAAATTTAGTAGAAATTCTAGTTTACCTATTAATGAAAGAATTTAGTTTGTGCATTAGTCCTAAAATTTAATTTTGTACATTAAATCTAAAACAAATTTGTACATCAACTCTAAAAACCTAGATATACATTAATTATATGTTCAATTGCAGTCAAACGTAATCACCTACTCCTCCTACTTTTATACCTGCGAGCTCAAGGCTTTTCTACACGACGGGTAACAAAAGGGTGCAAGTCAAGGGCCACATACATGGTAAGAATGTAAGTTGTCTTAGAATTATCCTTAACACCTGAAGAAGGTGTTAAGGTTGGTGGATGTAGCTTGACATTGACAGCCTTAATGACCCTGGGAGGTGGGTGTCAGGGGAGGTGTCATATGTACTTAACTTTCCCTTATTTATCTATGTTTTTACTTGAGATCCTGTGAGCGAACTTTTGGAAGGTATTATGTCATTAGGGTTGATAAGGCATTTGGCTTCTGTGAGGGAAAGCCAACATAAGTATGGAGGGAGCGTGGCTTTGTGCTCGAACTTGCTCACCACCATTAACACTAAACTAGACTGTTAGTTGATCGTTTCCACCTCTCGCCACTACAGTCCTTGAATTTTTTTTAAATGAATTGTTGGATACAACGTGACTTGTCCATTCTGTAACATGTTTATTAGAGTTGAGAAAATCAATGTGAGGTGATGAGGTGGTAGTTGGAATTGATGTTTGGCCACTGCTCCACATCCAACCCAAGATGGACGCTAAAGAATGTTGATTCGTGAGTTGTGGGCAAATTATCGTTTTGCGTGTGGCTAGCTACAAGGGAGGTTGGGGTCACCAGGCAGACTGTGAGACACTGGTTAACCTGCTGGTAGGAGTCTGAGAGCTTGGGAAACTGGCCGCAGTGAGCATTTTTGATGGTTTGCTGGTATATGATATACCTGTACATTAAAATTACTAATTTCAGGTGTGTAATGTAAATAAAACATATTTGAACTCCTAAGTCTTCTAAATAATATACTTTTAGGCCAAGAAGACCATGATTAACATACGAGCAGGACACTGAATGGGCTATTGAGATTCTGTATGAACTGTGTTGGTAAATATTAAAAATAATTGTGATTTCCACCCTCATATTCAATATTTCTCCTCATATAAACACTATTATAAATATCTACTGTAGTTACCAGTGTTTAAAATCTGAACTGCAACATGAAAAAATTATATATAAAGAAATGGATGGCACATTATAATGATCATAAAATAAGGATCCTCATCAAAAATTCTTTCAAGCATGTAAACCTATAATAATATAGTGAAAAAACAAACATATATCCATCCTTCTTACATGACTTTCCCTGCTTTTTTTGATACCCCCCTCTCTCTCATGAGCAATTTGCATTGCATTCCATCCAGCTTCACCCCCCCCCAACCAATGGCCCTCCCTCAGGTCAATCATTCCCCCTCTCCACCCCATGTGACTTACTGTGCAGAAAGAACCCAGCCAAGTGCAAGGGTTAGGTGGTGGAGTGGATGATTACTTTTGACTGCGATTGTACATTAAATTTATTAATTGTTCCTCTATTTCTGGAAAAGTGTCAATACTAAAAAAATGTCACATAATTCTGGTTACATTCTCTAATGGTTTTAACTAAATATGCCTCTTCATGGAAGTCCTTGTTTTAGGAACACTTAATAATAAAATAAATTATATAAGTACCCGGTACACTATCAATTCAAAAAATAAAATCTAAATTACTACTAACACAAATCATCTTCATTTCAGTGATGATTGTTTATCCAGTTACTGTGTAAGTTTTTATGGATTTCATCATCTATGCCAATATTTTACTCAACCTGAAACACTAATATGGGTAAAAATACTTTGGTGAAATTTAGCAAGAAATACCAGCAAGTGTGGCCAACTCTGTACATGAGAATGGAGCAGCTTAGCTTAGGGATTGAATTACAGGGCATGAGCATCCCCTTGCATCCCACCAATGTTAACTAGTATATTTATTAATATAAACCTTCATAATCCACTCCTGATACTATCTTCAGTTTAAGTGTTTCTCAACCTTTTACTTTAACAACTTAGAACTTACATCAGTCATATTTTGAAGAGAAGGAGCAGCGATGAATACAACATACGGTGCAAATTCAGCGGTACGCAGGATCTTGAGAGCCTGTGGTTCAACGTCTAAGATTGCCATACGACCTTCACCATGAATCTTACGAATAGTTTCCAGTTTTGTGCCATACATTGCATCTTCATGAGTACCTGTAATGTTGTATTGTTATTAGCAACTGAAAACATTAATTCATTTATAAACTAGCATAACAATTATAAAATCATATTACCACTGTTCATATTAATATTTGACACTCCCCATTCTCCTACAATACATGCCACTCTCATTGACATCCCCGAGCAGAATTATCTTCCTTAGTTATGTTCTTTCCTGACATATGCATAAGGACTGTGCATCAAGATCTTCATCTTATTCAAGATTCCTTACATACTCATTAGTAATATTCCTATGTATAATCTCTCTCATTCAATGTAAATGTTTGCAAAAATTTTCATTTAAAACCTATTTTCTTACTATTGTATTATTAGGTTTGCTTTTATTCTTATTATTATTATTGTATTATTATTGTTATTTTATTATTGTAACTAAAACATATTGAAGAAAATAGATACAGTAAACAAATTACAGTTTTTAGGGGGCATTTCCTCTGATCCCTGGCACTTCCTTTATTTCTTATGGGATAATTAAGTTTGATTTACAAGGCCATTCTCAAGATCGTAACTACCATGTAAAACGAGAGATAGCTGTATTATAAAATATATGCAAATCTTACCACAACTGCAAAATACAAGTACTATTCAGACATACAGTTATAAACAACAAATCATCCTAAAGTTTGTGAAAATTTTATCTACCCGGGAAATGGTATCCACTGAATGAAATTGAAAAATGGGCTGGAGGAACTTTAAAGATTCCTTCTCAAGTGTATAGACAAACAGTGAATTAAAATTCCTAATACCAAGTAATCAATAAAAATATGAGAATAAGTGAAACCGGACAAAAAAGCTAACTAATAATACACAGTCTGTATTTCTTGTTAACTGTCAAATGGTGAAGGAATGAGGTTCAGGGTGCTGTAAGGAGAGTGTGGCTGTTTCCTACAACTTATTCTTCCAGTCTTTATTAAAATTTTCACTAGATTTTACTGGTATCAGGGAAGGGTGAGCAGACAACAGATGATCACATTATTTTATCACCCATTCTGGGACTGTGGTGCAGCTTCTTCCAAGTAAAACCAAAAAATGCAAAGGCATAATAAAATAGTAGGAACTATCTCATTTACCAGACTCCATGATCATGTTACATTATTATCACTTTTTATAAAATTATACTGTACTGTATAAGATGTTGTATAAGACAAGGAAACTAAGGGTAGTACTAATTACTGTACGGTACAGTATTTACATCCCCTAACAGTTGCTGTGAATTTATCTTATGCATTTCTTTTTGATTTATAATAATAAAATATTTCATGCATAAGTACTTTTCAGGTACAGTAAAGCATTAACACCTTACCATATTCCAAATACTCATTTGCTGCAATATCTGCCATCATTTCATCATGAGACACAAAGTAGTAATTCTTTCCATTTTCTTCATCTTTTCGTGGACTTCGGGTAGTATCTGTAACACAAGGGTTTATATTAAATATCAAGAGTTGAAAAGAAATATGTGCCGAGATCTTTCTAATATACTGCACTGTATCTCATTTTTCGGTTCAAAAGGTCACGTCAGGAACTCATCCTCTTACGGAAATTTATTTTCCACAGCCCGGAACTGGGAGATTTTCCCCAGAATTTCTCAGAATGCTTAAAAAAAAAAAAAAAATCTGGGTCATGGAGAGCTCCAAGAATCGAAGATTCTGGCTAATGGAGAGATTACTATATTTATTAAAGCTTCTCTAAAAAAAATGGTTCTCAATTGTGTCTGGGACCAATTAATTATTTACATAATTGTTTCAATAGGATTTATTCATTCAATCGACAAACATCTGGGGTACACACACACACACATACAAAATCAGGTAGACATTAATTTCATTAGCTGGGAACTGCCTGTACTTTTAGTTCAAATGCCAAAGTAAAATCTTAAAGGTAATGATGAGAATTCATATGCCAAAACACTTTCATTATTTTAGTTTGTTTCCTTAGCTCTAAAGTCAGCAGCACAGTAAAGTATATAAGTTCAGTTAGCTCATGATACGTAGTTTCTGTAAATGGACTTCCAGTTTTGTTTCTGAACAAGATGGTCCCTACCCATTAACATTAATACTGAATCTACAATACCCTTAATATAGAATCCCTGTAACTTTGATCCAACTGTTATTTATTCACACTAATATTTCCTTTATTTACGTACTGGTCACTACATCTAGTACAGTATAGTACTAGCCCAGCCAAGGGAACTACAACTGTGGCCTGTGCAGGCAGACCATTATTTTGGATTAAATGGTCCAGCTACATCAAGACAACCACTGATGTAGAGACAGTATAAATGTAGATATGTCCCAGCATAAAATCCACTCCATGCCTTTGAAATTCAAAGGCAGTTTCTAATTACTGTGCATGTACCTGGGAAAAATACAATGTAATAAAATTTTGTATCACGTTGATGAAAAAATAAATAATTAAATAAATAAATAGAAACAGTGTACATGGAATATTAACTTTTTCTAGGGTATTTGTTAATGAATAGTGTAAGGAAAAAGTCAATCAAGAACAAAAAAAACTATCTCAAATAAAAGAGCTGTTCTAGAAAGCAGTACTGTATACTGGTAGTTTATAAATATGAGATACTTCCCCCTTTAGTGACATGTGGATATATATATATATATATATATATATATATATATATATATATATATATATATATATATATATATATATATATATATATATATATATATATATATATATATATATATATATATATATATATATATATATATATATATATATATATATATATATATATATATATATATATATATATATATATATATATATATATATATATATATATATATATATATTCATATTAGTTTGCAGAATAGAGTAAAATCATAGCTTAAATACAATATTGAATTGCTTAATCCATGTGTAAAAAACATACACGTTATTTTACCCCAAATAAATTTAAAATACTGTAATGTACTGCACAAGGCACCTATCAACTATTTCTGTTTCTGAAAATGTAAGGCTTTCATTATTTTTAATGTTCTCAACTCTAATAAGCCTTTACGAAAAACTTCGTGTGGTATTGAATTAAGCATATTTGTCTGGATGTGAGGCTATGAGGGTGTTCTTGATGTGTAGCCTCCCAACACCATCATGCACTGCAGCACCAGTGTCTTCCGTCGAAATGCTGAGGCGCCAATGTGTATTTGATATGGAACAAATATACAGTACACTATATGTACAATTGCCAAGTAAATTACATTACGAAATTTCTATACACCTGTATTGACTAACCTATATTAGATTGGAGAGTTATTCATTGTTTTTGTTTCTCATTTATTAACTAGTTTGCAGTACCTCATAACTTGTAAGTACAGTAACTACAATGCCTAAATTCTGCATGAATTTTCTTGTCATATTTTAAGTAAATCTAAAATCATTTGGTAAATTTATTGTTACAGGTAAATTATAGACTTTAAGAATACTCACTATCTTCCAGGAGTACTTACATGGCAGTTTTATGACTTCTTCATAAGTGACAAGGTCAAGCTGGTCAAAAACAGCATTGTGTTTAGCAAGATACTTGTCTTTGTGCTGCTTCTTCTTCCGACCAAAGAATGAGCAATTAACTGTAATAAAGAACAATTCTCATAAGGCATTCTAAATAACAGATACTATACCCACAAGAAAGATCTGAGCGAGGAGGTAGTTAATGATGTTGTCATATGTAATTGAAATGTAGTAATTCAAACAATGTATGCATAAAAATAAATTACTTTAATATGCTGTTATCCATCACCACAGAAACAACTGTAAGGATAGTGTTGGCTATCACAATGAGTGGGGAATATAAGCAATTCCTGAAAATGATGTCAAATATTTGGTAGAAAAATAAACTGAGAAACAAACAAGACTGTAAGGTCATCCACAAGCAGTAAACAATAGAAAAAGTGTGAGAAACCTGCAATTACATTGTTTCACTGTGCTACTTCTTTCAGGGAGAATACAAAGTGTCACTATATGATCATTCACATAAAGTTTAGTGACTGCATTATGTTCCATTCTGAATAACTGTAGATGTAGGTACAACTTTACCCATTAAGGGCAATACAAGTACAGTACAGCACATTCAATACTAAGCCTTTACTTTACAAGGAGGCAGTGTGGCTGGTCTGCACTTATTACCTTCACCTTTCCAACTGTGGCATTGGGTACCGGTACCCATTCACAGCTGTATGAAATGGGAGTACCTTTGGCATGTTGCATTTAAAGTAAGTCAGTGCCTCAGTTTTCAGGAAGCTAAGTAAAGCCATAAGACACACTGAATTATAGCAGAACTTAAGTTGGACTTAAAATGTAACACGGCAATCTGAATGGCTCATAAAATAAATATAGACTGTACCCTTGTTAATTCGGATTGTTATAATTCGGATTTCAGCTCCAACCAGGAGCGAACTCGTAACAATAGTTTTAAATTAGACAAGTTTAGATTTAGACACGAAATAGGTAAACATTAGTTTGGAAATAGAGTAGTGGATGAATGGAACAAGTTACCAAACATCATGATTGACTTGAATACGATGGATAGCTTCAAACATAGGTTGGATGAATATATGAGCAATAGGGGTTGGGTGTAAATGGGACTGCCCAGTATGGGTCAATAGGCCCGCTGCAGTTTCCTCCATTCTTATGTTCTTATGTTCATATGATATTTCCAAAAATTAATTAAACAATTTTAATTCAGAATGAATCCAAAATAACTGTGTGGTTCTGTAAAGTCGCTTTGGCTGCCACATAAAATATTCTATTTATAAATGCACTGTGCAAATATAAATATTTTTAAAATGTACAGTAGCTAAAAAATGTATCTGACAGGGTGGGTCCGATGACTTCCGAAATTATAAGTACAATTCGTGATGCCTCAGGAGGGTTGGTATGCATGTCCTCACACACCACCATCAGTATCCAACACAAATGGTGAGTTTGCATATAGGAATAAAATAAATGGTAAAGCAATTAATATCACATAGTACAGTGTCAGAAAACAACATGCATATCCCAATACCTATCATCCGTGATCTCATATTTTTCACACACAGTATGCAGATACTTTTTTTTAGCTACTGTACATACAGTAATAATAAACAATACAGTAATAAATAAATGTAACACTTACATTGCAAGGTGAGCTGATAATATGTAGATGATATTCCAAAAGTGTTATGGTCACAATGGTAAATGAAGTAAATACCCACATTGGAAAATAAAGGACAAAATCTTGGAGCTGGTATATGTACTAGGACCCTCTTCAGCCAACTAACAAAATAGAGCAAGGGAGAAAGACATAAAACAAAGGAATCAGGTCACATAACCTGTCTCCTGAGTTGAGGTATGGTGGGGATTAAGGATAATATTCTTGATGACAGTATTCAGGATCTGGTCAGTGGACTGAACGCGATCCTGCAGTAAGTGCTACATTGATACAGGAATTACTGTATTTTTGTTCAATCCAGAATGCGACGTCGAGCTTTATACCTAGGTACGTTAATGCCTAGCAATAACTCGCCAGGCCAACATACAGGCAATTAAAACATCTAATAATTACTTAATAAGTAATATTAGGACACGTCGCTACCTGGCATTTAATTGCAATTCTCAAGACCCCCTCCCGCACTCTCCATCTCATGCATTGGTACCATCATCTTCTTGCCTGGCAAATCAGCTGTAAATACGCACAAAGAAGGCTCCGCTAATTTATGTTGTAATAGCTGAAATACTAAGTGCCACGAGGAATTTATATAGGGTATTTATACATCTTAGCACAGTGAGGAAATCGAGGGACTTTTATTTTGTTTATGTTTCTCGGATATTATTTTTGGGACAAATTTTTATACGGTCTGGTCCGCATGGCGACCACAGCTCGTCTTCTATTCGAAGACAGTAGATCGTTAGTGGCTATTATCCTCTGCTTTCAAGTCACTTAGTGAATGACATTATTTAAAATGAATGAATAATTGAGCACAAAAACTCAGAAATCATTGAATAATGTCAAAATATTCCGAACTCAGTCAACTCGAATTTTCCTGTAATTTGAGTAACCCAGAGCCCCCTTTTTGTTGAATTAACAAGGGTATAGTGTAGTATGAACTGTGTACCCTAAAAAGTAAATCACAGTAACCAAGTATTTAAGAGGTGCCTAGGTACAGTAATCAAGTTTTCAAGAGGTGCCTAGGTACAGTACCATTAGATAATCATGGTCCTTTAGTTTGGTGATTACAGGTAATATTAATGCAGAACCAAAGTTGGGAAAAAAATTAATTTGACTGATATTTCCACACCACAAAGTCACACAGACTTAATTTAAAAAATTAGCAACTACAGTTGTTCATTTTTTTTTGCAGACAGTACAAGCCCTGCCCCTTTTGCAGCTCATTGGCTCATACAGTACATAATATTCGATTAATATTAATACATTGCCAAAAATTCATATGTAAAGGATTCCCAGTTCCAGCTCACTTTAATACCTAATTTAATATATGTAAAAATATAAAAGCTTGAAAACATTAATGTTCAAGATAAATGTGGAAAAAAGTTTGAAATACAGTAAAGAATATTTATTGTTGAAGTCACAAACAAATTCATGCTTTTGGAGTATACATTCCACACCACAGTACTTCTTCTCTTTTCACTAATTATTTTGCATATCAAGACAAATTTCAACAAACATATAAAGCAAGAGATAATAGTCAACATTTACAAAGGGTACAATTAACTGTAAAACCACACATTCACGTAAGTATCATTTAAGACAAATTTTATGGGGATGTAGTGCGCTTGGCAGATGAGCTGCTCAGTTAATTTATAATTTTTTTTTTTTTACAGGGATTGGCCCACCCGGGCACAGGTCAACAACCCACATCAGGGCCTAGGGGGTGAAAAAAAGAACAGAAAGAAATTAAAAATAGAAAAGGAAAAGGTTATATTATCTACATCGCAAAGATGCCAGAAAACCAGCTTTTTAAAGTGAGACAGATTGTATGAGTATGGAAACACAGAAGAAGGCAGAGCATTCCACAGTTTGGCTGTGTGAGGAAAGAAGAATGCACTATAACGGGTTATTCTAGTGTGACCGACATCCACAGAGAAATGGTGGGCACCGCGGGCAAGATGTGTGTTACGAGCCCACGGCCTTGCCGGCAGTACACAGGACGTCAAATCCACCGAACATAGCCCGTTAAAGTACCTGTAAAAGAGAGAGAGTGAAGCAACATTGCGGCGAAGAGAAAGGGAAGAAAGGTTGTCAACTAAAGATGAAATGCCTTTGATTCCACTCTATCTAACAGTTGGACAGAAGAGACACCCCAGATAAGAGAGCAGTACCCCAAGTTAGGACTAATGAATCCCTTATATACTTGAAGCAACTGCTCAGGAGTGAATTAACTATGGCATCTGTACAGCATTCCCAACTTTCAGGAGGCAGCTTTAGCAATGTTGAGGATGTGTTGCTTCCATGACATATTAGAGGAAATGGTGAGGCCTAGCATATTTATTTTAGAATTTGGCGGAATGATAGCGTCCTGAAATGCGATTGGTAGGAGATCATCTAATTTGGAAAGTGTAATTGGTAAATACCGAGTTTTATTACTATTGAATTTAACCAAATTTCTACCTCCCCATTCGGAGATGCTGCACAGATCGGCATTGATAGATGTAAAGATAGCTCTGGAAACAGATCTAGTTTGAGAGTTAATGGAAAGGGGAAATGTGAAGAAAAGTGAAGGGTAGAATCATCAGCATAAGAATGGATAGAATTAGTTGTTGTGTGAAGTAAGTCATTGATAAAAAGAAGAAGAGAGTAGGTGAAAGAACAGAACCCTGTGGGCCACCACTATTGGTAGAGAAAGAGCGAGAGATCGATCCCTCATCCATCGACAACAACCGCCATGGATCAGTTCTCAAAGAAGCTGGAGATTAGAAAACAAAGTGGGGGAGAGAAACCATAAGATGGAAGTTTAGAAAGCAAAGACTTGTGCCATACCCTGTCAAATGCTTTGGAGATGTCGAGGGACACGACAGAAGTTTCCCCATAATCCCTAAGAGAGGATGACCGAAGATGGGTGCAGTAGAAGAGCAGATCACCAGTAGATCTCGCCTGGCGATTGCCATACTGGTGATCCGACAAAAGAGAATGGCGTTCAAGGTGACGGAGAAAATGGGAGTTCAAGATAGTTTCAAAAATCTTAGAGAGGGATGAAGTTAGGGCAATGGAGCAATAGTTAGAGGGATTAGAATGGTCACCCTTCTTTGGGATGGGCTGAACCAAAGCATGCTTCCAAGAAGAAGGAAAAGTTTGGGTTTTGAGGCAAAGACGAAAGAGGCTAGCAAGCACAGGGGCCAGAGCTTCAGCACACTCCCTCAAAACACGAGGGGGTATTCCGTCCGGTCCATGCGCCTTACTTGCATCCAGTCTAGATAACACACCAGCAACCCTCCGAGTGGAGATAATAGGAAAGTGCAGAGGTTCAGTAGGAGGAGCAGAGATAGGAGGGGTAAAGTTGGAATCGTCTAAGGTGGAATTAGAAGAGAATAAGGTGCCAAAGAGATTGGCTTTGTCAGGGGGAGAGTAGGC